ATCTCAAAATCGAGTTTTTGCCCGGACACTGCTTTTAAGAGGGTTACTGTTGGCGTCTAAGAGCGTTGTTAGAAAATACGAAATGACAGTTATCGAATGACTAATAATTCACATTACTTAGATTTTTCTAAAGTTCATTTTTCTCAAAATATCAATTGATATCTCATGGAGGTGATGCGCTTGATGATATCATTGGTTCTTTTGCAGATTAACAGTGCCGAGATGGTGCAAGAGCTGCATCAAGTGCTTCTAGAGCGCGAGGCGACATGTCACAAGACATGTTTCAGTCTTCAGTTGAACGGTGTCACGCTTGATAATTTCACAGAAATCCGAGCCGTGCCAGGTCTCGTAGATGGAAGTGTTCTACATGTTGTGGAAGGTAGGCGCAGATTATAGTTAGAACCGAATATTTTCGAATATTCTTATTTGAATGATTTATTCGATTTAGGATAATCGAATATTCAGGAAAGCATCTATTTAGTTATACGAATAGTCGAGTTTATGGGAAAGGCTTTCACTTGAATATTTGTTCATTCAACGAATCGAAAAAATAACTAATTCGATTTTTTTAGATGGTCGAATAATACTTCGAATAATTTATTTTTTCGATTCTTCGATTAAACAAATCAAGTAAAGGTCTCACCCATTTATTCGACTATTCGAATAATTGAACAGATGCACTTTCCTGAATAGTCGACTATTCTAGTTTTGCATAAATCATGCGAATGCAAATATTCAAAATTATTCGGTCCTAATTATAGCGCAGATTTCAGTCACCATGTAGCACTATTCTTACATTCAGAGCCTTACACAATGAGGGAAGCTCGCATTCACCTGCGTCATGTGCGTGATCTGTTGAAGAATGGTGATCAAGCTGATGCTGCATCTGCGGTAGATCTGACATCGTTATCATTTCTGCCTTCGGTAAATCTCCAAGAAAGAGGAGACAAGGAGAAGCCGTTTGATGGACTTCCGCCAGACTACGTACTTCCGGGAACTAAAGTATGCTTTTTTTGGTAACTCACTTATACCAAGGCGGTTGTTTTCAGGAGCGGTCTCTCGCCCCAATGTTGACAAATTTGAGCAAAGGAAAAATAGCAGTCAAGAATCTTGGAATATCTGCATTTAATCCACCTCCTGGGTACAGAAAAGTCAAAGGCGATGTGTTATATCTTTTTGTAGACACAGTAGAGAAGCGTCGTTTGCATATCACATGCTGCACGAAGGTAATGTCATTTGATAATAGCATCCTTTTCTTATTGATTTATTCTAGGGATTCTTTGTAAACTCATCCTCCGATGACGTATTCAATCCAGCACCTAGTAATCAGAATAAAGGAATTAGCCATAGTTTAGTGGATCTACTCAATGTTGTCAGCCCTGGATTCAAAAAAGTAAGCTTTGAATCATATTTTTCGCTTTGAAATAATTGTATTTGGTCTCAATCATAGGCATATCCAGTTATAATCAAGAAACGTAATGAGCGTCACATGCTCGACAGACTTCCTACACCATATCCAGTTTATTCTTGGTTATCACCTGCACAAGAGGTTGTAGAAGATTCTATACGTGCTGATGACGCTTCTCAACCGCATCGCGTCGGATTTGAGGGTGAGTTTTGGCTGAATATCGGCTTTCTAGAGCAACTTGGCTTCAAAGGCAGCGGATCGGCAATGTGGATCCTAGTCAGATTACGGCAACATTAGATAGTAGACCCCCGCAGTGCACCGTAGCCCTACCGCCACCCTCCAGTTCAT